TTTCACACATGAACTCAATCAAAAGTAGCACTCGCTGCTCCCTGACTGACAGCACTCTTCACCAATGTCTTAGGATTGCATTGACATCCTATGAGCCAAAAATCACTGCTCTTGTTCAAAACAAAAAATGTCCCTTCTCCCATTGAGAAAGTCAGCGATGACAAATCACAAATGAGGTGATAGTAAGCACCTAGTTTACTATAGTAGACGTGTAGTGTAGTATTCATTAATGTTAGTTACCCGTATCCTTTGTTATGGGTTTGTGCACTGAAGGGTTTGACAGTTCTTTCTGTATTCATTTAAATGCACTTTGTAATGTGTCTGGGTCAAATGTGACCAAAACGTATGATTTTTTTGTTATTACTTGAAAAGTGAAAAAATAGTATTGCTACAGTACTACCTCTTTGTGTTGCATTGGAGCTCTTTAGCTGTTTTTTTTGTATGTGAGGACATTTATTAAGACTGCTATTATTGTATTCAGTTAAATGCACTTTGTGATGTGCCTGGTTAAAAAAAAAACCTGAATATTTGACTTCTAAAGCAAACAAATGTAATGCTACAACTGTGCACATTTTTTTCAGATTCTGTTAAATTAATGCTAATTTGTTGTGTTTTTATGCACTTTTTGACCTACCTTTGTTAGATGAACAATGAATAAAAATTGGATGTTTTTCATCGCAGTAATATGTGTTGGTTTAAAATGTGTCACTACCTGCTTTTTACAGGCCGCTGAATGTCTGGCCCAGCTGAATTTTGTAGTTATAAAATCTGGCCCAACTGAATGTGTAATTGAATAGCCCTGTTCTACACAATAGGCCTATAGTACATGTAAGCAGATATGTATCGGAGATAAAGGTGGAAGAAACCCACAAGTACCGAAAACAGAAAATATTGTAACATGTCGATAATTTTCCTCACAGGATAATAAGCTTTACTAATGTTTTGTTTCAGATCTCAAAGGTCTCCAATGCAACACTCAAGAAGTTTGGCGTGAGACTCTTTAAACCCACCAAGAGTCTTGTTTTCCCCTGGTTTGGGGGCCCCGACTCCTCCCTGAAGGGCGTGAAGCTCCTCTCCGCCCAAAGCACAGACAATAACAAAGTCATTTATAAAGAAGCCACAGTCCCAAAGTGTAATTCTTTCTACAGCCTGTTCGGCCTCCCCCTGGTGGGCCGTATGGACGCGGAGGTGGTGCTCACCGGTTCTGAGCTGGACACACTCGCTGTGAGCCAGGCCACAGGACTCCCCAGTGTGGCTCTTCCACGGGGGGTCAGCTGCCTCCCACCCATCTTGCTGCCTTACCTGGAACAGTTCAAGAGAGTGACGCTGTGGCTGGGAGACGACATTCGCTCCTGGGAGGCGTCGAAGATCTTCTCTCGTAAGCTGGGTCTGAGGCGCTGCTCGCTGGTGCGGCCCGGGGAGTACAGACCCTGTCCCATGGAGGCGCTGGCTCAGGGGAAGAACCTGGGACACATCATCAAATCCTCCATCCCAGCAGCACATAAGTCCATCGTGTCCTTCAAGCAGCTCAGAGAGGACGTGTACGGGGAGCTGTCGAACACAGAGCAGGTGGCCGGAGTGAAGTGGTCCAGGTTTCCCGAGCTCAACAGGATCCTGAAGGGACACCGCAAGGGGGAGCTGACTGTTTTCACAGGTATGAAGAAGAACCATGATGCTTAAAGACCAAGTTCTGAATCACAGTTCATAGTATTGTCTTTGTTGTTGTTTAATTCTAATACTAAATGATCAACCAACTCTACAGTTCCCCTAGGCCCAAAAGAGTCGTTGCATCTTTTGGCACATTATTTTGGTTTTCTAGCCCACAAAACCATAGTTGATATTTTTGAATATCTCCTGGTTATTTTCTTGATTAATGTTGTCTAAACAATTTCAGAAAATGGCAAATAAATGTATATCCCAGGTTGTCAAATGCTAAGTTGATGTTAAAATGTATTGTTTTATCAGTCCTAGGGATGTAACGATATATCGGATATCGTGGTAAATAAATGTCTCAACATTTATTTATTTTTAAACCTTTATTTAACCAGATGTTCCCATTGAGATCATCGATCTCTTTTTCAAGGGAGACCTGTCCAACATGGCAGCAAGTAGGTTACAACATGAACATAAAACAACAGATAACACAAAAGGACATTGTATTTACAGGGCTACATGTACATACCTAGAGACATTGACAAGTACCAACAGTATATTTATATCTCGCCCTGTCAATAAGCCTCACCTTCTTGGCAAAAACTGTATTGTTTTTGAAGTGGTGGAGAGAGAATGCACAGTTTTACCCACTGTAGTCACCCATGGCCAAAGCATATCTCTCTGTCCCAGCAACATCAGTACAAAGCAAGAGAGTTGTTTCCACAGCAGGGGATATTGTAAACGCCCAAACATCCCAGCTTCTACCTGGAAATGTGGACATGCTCATATTTCTAAAAGATAACCTTGATGATGCTGAGTGAGTGAGTTAGTGAGTTAGAGTTGAGTTACTTGAAAAACAACTTGAAAGTGAAACTTGATTTATTCTATTGCAGGGTCTGATTATTATATTGTTGACACTTTAAAATACTACTAAAATGCTGTACAAATCAGATTTATATATTTATTGAATAAAGAAAAAAAATTAAAGTAAAAAAAGATCACATTTGTTTTCCTTTATTTTTCCATAGCGCGATAAATATCGTACCGTGGACTTTTTATCGCGATATTATCGTACCGTGAGTTTTTGGTATCGTTACATCCCTAGTCAGTCCACAACCCAAAGATAGTCAGTTAAATAAGATATAAAACTGAAAAAATAAGGAGTTCTCGAAATTTGGTATGATTTAAAAACAGCATTTTTAGATATTTTCATTCAAAACAGCTCCAAAGGCAGCAAAGGGTTCTCTACAACCGACCTTCTGAATGTCAGAGTTAGAAATGTGGCCACTAGTTTGTGAAAACATTTAACAAAAATATAATAGTTGTGCTTCAACTAGTTTGAATGCTCCCAAGTGGTCAAGAAAAAATGAAACTAAAATGTATCCATTGGTCTTAATATATATGTTTGTTTTTATAACCAGGTCCCACTGGCAGTGGGAAGACCACCTTTATCAGCGAGGTTGCTCTGGACCTCTGCATGCAGGGCGTCAACACGCTGTGGGGCAGCTTTGAGATCAACAACGTGCGTCTGGCCAAGGTCATGCTCACTCAGTTTGCCATGCAGAGGCTGGAGAACAACCTGGAGCAGTACGACTTCTGGGCAGACAAGTTCGAAGAGCTGCCTCTCTACTTTATGACTTTCCACGGGCAGCAGAACATCAAGTAAGTGTGTCAATGAATATGTCCTTCTAAATCCCAGTAGGCATCCCATGCTACATTTCCTAGTGCTTTAGCCAAGACCATACAATCAATTAATTAAACTGGATTCTGTCAAAAATAGCTGTAGGAATATGCCAGTGTTTGCTTTTAACTTGCTTTAATTCTTTGATATGGTGCCAAATTCAAGCTAAAAAGGGCTGCAAGGATAAGTCAGAAAACAAACTGACATCTACTCATTGGTTAAGCCCTTTAAAGAGGACATATTGTGCTCAATTTTAAGGCTATACGTGTAAATTGGGTCTCTACTAGAACCTGTTCACATGCTTTAATTTTGAGCAGCTGTCTCTTTGGATCCCTTTTCTGAAAAAGCCATCGGTGGTGGTACATTCTAACAAGTTACATAGAAAGGGGAGCCAGATCTGAAAGGCTTGTTGAATCCCATGTTTACCGAATGACATTGTTTTTTCATGATGTCGCCCCCAAAAAAGAGCTAATTTTCAGTTTATTATTTTGGGTTTTGTTTTGTTAGTTTTACAGAAACAGATATTTGAAGACCGTGCATTATTTTTACTGACTGTACAATTAATGGACGGATTTTCAATAGGGCGGTGCTGGACACAATGCAACATAGCGTCTACCTGTATGATATCAACCACGTCATCATCGACAACCTGCAGTTCATGATGGGGCAGGAAAACCTCTCAGTAGACAAGTGAGTAAGATTTAAAACAAATATAAAGAAAAACAACCTTTTTTTCATGTTCCACTCTCAGTTTCATCAATGTTGCTTTCCCATCACAAATACGTAATGACATGATGTTTCCAGGTTTGCTGTCCAGGACCACATTATTGGAGCCTTCAGGAAGTTTGCCACCAACAGCAGCTGCCACGTCACGCTGGTCATTCACCCGAGGAAAGAGGAGGACGACCGGGATCTGCAAACAGCATCCATCTTCGGATCAGCAAAGGTAAGACAGAAAAAGGTGTAGAACTCGGGATCAGAATTGTATTTTAAGAAAATTTGATTCACAAGTTTATACACTTAATTCTTTTTAAATAGGACATGGGGACTCAAGGAGAGGACAGAACAAAACATTGAATCAAAAAAAGTATATGGAAAATGTGATAAAAAAAAATATCAAATACATATAAACACTTAAAATAAATAAATAAAGGGTTTTAAAGTATAACAACACTGCACAAAACAATAGAATAAGAAATGATCAATCGCAAAATATTGTTTCAGATATAACAATTTAAAGAGTTTTTATACAAATCATTATTCACAAAAGGATAACAATTCTGAAAAACTGCTGGAAAGTGCTGGAATAGAAATTCAATCCCAACATATCCCCTATATTACTTGCTGTATTTTACTTTTCTTTAACATCCATTTCCTCTTATCGCCTATGCCTTTTCATTTTATACATTTGCTCGTGAGTGTCGCGCTCTTTTTCTATTTAAAAGTAGCTTATCTTTACAAATAAAAAAACCACTAATTGAGTTTGAGAATACAAATGTCCTGACCATGTTTACAAAGCTGCAGTCCTTTTTACTAGAAGCATCTCCACTTTTTTAACCCCTTCCAGGCCAGCCAAGAGGCCGACAACGTCCTGATCCTGCAGGAGAAGAAGCTAGTGACGTGTCCCGGCCGCAGGTCCCTGCAGGTCACCAAGAACCGCTTCGACGGAGACGTGGGCATCTTCCCTCTGGATTTCCTCAAGTCTTCGCTGACTTTCGAAGCTCCCATCCAAGGCAAGCACAAACTGAGGAAGGTCGCCTCCAAGCCGGAAAACGAGGGGGACGAGGGAAATAAGGTGGAGGTAAAGAAGGTAGAGGTTAAAAAAGAGAAAGCGGCCAAAATAGCAAAGGCTCCACGAACTGTAACCGGAAAAGAAAGCGTGCAGCAGTAACAATTATATAGTATACTTGTAAGGCAGAAGAGATTACTGGGATCGATAAAGTGTTAGATAGCAAGGATGTTTGACAGTTTTATGTCAATAACGAAAGGTTCAACTAAGCTGAATAGTAAGTATGTTGGAGCAATGCAAAATGAGCTTGTAATTCACAATGAAACAAATAATACTGTAATATTTCATTATGGAGCAAAGTATGAAGTATGTTCTGAGCAGAATGTGAAACAATGATGGGAAAGTGTTGGCACAGTATAAGCTTTTCTACTACTGTATATTAAGACAAAGTTCTCTGTTCAAAGTGTTTATGAAATACATCATGACTCGTTCAATTTCACAAAAAATGCCGTTTTCATGGTAATGTCCAGTATTTCACGGTAGAACACTATCACTCTGTCTGCGTGCCAGGCTGATACAAGCACTTGCACATTGCCTTAGTGTGCTCTCTACTGACATTTTGTCCAAGGAGGATTTATTGTATGAGCTACTTTTTTTTAAAATAAAATGCTTGAATGCTAAAATGTCTGTTTTCTTATTTGATCAACAGATGGCAGTGTATGCTTTATTACAGATAGAAACTTCCACAGTTAATATTGCCACCCTTTTTCAACACATGGCTAAAAATGTGTTTTTTATTTAGCTTAGTCTTTGGGTTTCAATAGCAGATTTATTGATTTGTCTCAGATGTCTGTGCTTGATACTAACAAGCTTTAAAGTGCACATTTAAGCATTTTACCACCAATAATTTAACTCATGCACTATTTAGCAACACTGGAAGCACTGTATTGCCTCTTGTGTCATTCCTTTCTATATACATATTCAGTAAGCTGGTGATTTATAAGATAATCAGAGATTCTTTGAAGGATTTAACAGTGAATAAAGGATGTCAAATTAGCTCATTATTGCATCTAAAGCAGTAAAATGCAACCAACACATCGATAAAATGAATTTAAAACAACATCATATAAAAGTAAAAGACTCAGAGGGAACATTTTACTGCACTATTCCTGTTTATCATGTACATTTTGATGGAAAAACATGCTTGTATTTAGCAGGAGTTTTACTTGTAGTTGAGTATTTTCCCAGTTTGTCAGTACTTCTTCCACCACTGCAGATTACACATTAGGTTCAAAGGGTTCCATTATGTTTTAATGCACCTGCCTAATGGGGTTTTTTTCATTGTGAAATTGAGCCATCTCCGGTGTCACATTCCACAATCCATTATTTAGACTTGGTGACTTTAATAAATGCAAATGTGTTTCAAGACATCTTCATATTAATATTTCATGGGTAAAGTCAATTGCCCCGCCCGGGCTGCAGCAGTGTGGGGTTACATGTGGAATCAGCAGCTTTCAGAGGTGAGAAGCTGCTCTCTGCTGTACTGCTCTCTGCTGCAGCATCTATTGGTGCTTGCAGTGTTGTATTTCATCACAGTCACTGCGAAGCCAAATACAAATTCAGATTTATGACAGAGAGGGAAGGGTTTACTGTGGGAATATGGAAGTGCCAGAGTGTTTGATATCAGGGCTTCTGATGGTTTTCAACATGGGTAATCCAAACAGCTGGTTTTTGTCTCTACCTGGGAGTCTCTAAATAGTGGACCTTTCCCTTTTGGAAATCTCATCAAGAGACTCTTGGACTCCAGTTGCATCAGAAACATGCCCATAGCAGGAGGCATGAAACATTAAACAATGATAACTTGTACAAACCAATACCATATTTCAATGTATGACACATATAGATGCATATATCAAAATTGAGGAAGCACTGCCTTGTCAAAACCTGCTGGCTATAATTTCCCACAGGGTTGTAAAGTAACAGACACCTGTAATCAGAATTACAAAAATACTTGAATCAACCCAGATTACATTTGAAAACACGTGCAATTAGATTATAGCCTGGTTAGATTGTCACGGATCACTTGATACATTTTGTTTACATCTTTAAATAAGATATTAATTTATCAAAAGTGCATTGCACATGTTGTAGTTTTATAGACTGCACTTGTAGTTTTTGGCAGCATTTTCTTTATGTACTTTAACAGTTTTTTGGGGGAATTCAATGGATTCGGTGACTTCTTATAAAAATTCAGTAACTGACCACGTTTCAAAGTAATTGAAGCCATCATTTGAGGTATGGTAATTAATTATTTTTAACTAAACTTCATGATCTTATTTTCCTTTGACCTAGACGTTTTCAGCCCCAAACGACGTTCATAAGTGAACTCACTGATTTTATCAGACTGTGCACACTTAAGGCTTTTAAAAACTTTTTTTACACGTGCAGTAATACTACCCAAGACCTGTAAACAGACTCTGATTGGTGGAATTCCCCTTTAATATCGTTATGCCATTGTTTATCTAAGTCCAGAGTTCACAGAGATTGGAGCCTCTCCGTCTGCCTCTGAGATCTCTGCTGGCTCCTTCTGTGACAGAGCGGTCCGTGGAAGCCCCTGGCCCCAGACTCACTTTACACATAGTATGTGGACCCCTGAGCTCCTCAGATAGCTCAATATATTGTTGTACGGAGTGGAAATAATTCCTGTGTATGTTTGATGAATCCCTGCAGATAAAATGGCAAGAGGGAGACACATGCCTGGTTTTTATTTCATCCTTTGCTGTCATTTCTTCTTCTCCAAGCCTTTCTTTGCAGCTTAATGTTTTCCTGTGAATGATTTACTGCTGTGTAAGTACACATTGCTTTCTATAATGACTCCAGGCTGTATGCTGGATGGGCCTGGGTGTCCTCTTGAATGTGTGGGTGTGGGATACGGCTGCTGAGGACTCTGAAAGGGCCTCTTTGTTTTTGGAGACGTTACTGCTCCGTGATGATGGCGGCTCTGTTTCCAGCCAGCTCCTCAAAAGGAGGGAAAAACGGAAAAATTGGGAGGAATGAGTTTGACACAAATCCATTCAGATGCTCATGACTGCACGGAACTTTCCCAAATACTCACACACTGTAGCTTTCAGTCATGCTGTCAGCTTACTGAGCTTTATCCAAGTTTCAAAGATAATAACTCGAGTTTTTGATGTCATTTCCCAGAGTAAATTTACGCAAAATGGTTAAATACTGAAATCTCTGTGCATTGTTGTTTGTGTCCAAAGTGACCTTTATTGAACAGGGCTTTGAATTCCTATTCAAATGGCTGCCATCTGGAGAGGGGACGAGATGAAACAACCTTAGATACGCAGCTTTTAATCATGAAGGGAACAAATTGTGCAGAGAACAAAACACTACAGATATGGGAGGATGTGAATTAAATGAGACTAAGAAAAGAGGTTTCAGCTGCAGATCAAATATTTCTCTCGTTAGGTATTTGACCTTGAAAACACTGAAAACATCCAGGTCAGATTAGAGCATTAGAAGTACATTTACTTTATAAACTGTTTCCACAAACAAGGAAAAATGTAGTCAGTGGTAAATATACTCGAGGCCCCGGCTGCTCCCAGCACTGCTGATGATGGGACGCATGGATACATGACATGCATGCATAGCTCTCCGCACCATTAGCTGGCCTTCATTAAGCCATCTATTTGACCAAGTCTGGGGGTAATTTCAGGACCTTCAATCTGAGTTAATCAGCCGGGGGCTCTGGCTCTGCAGATGGACTTAGTTCAGCTTGCAAGACAGGATCATATTCAGAGTCTTTTAAGTTGATTATGGTTAAGGTATTGAGTTTCCTTTAGACATGGTGATAAGAGAGTATTACACAGAATTGATAAGGTAAGGTTCAGAAAACACAAGAATGTTTTTTACTGTTTTTTGGAGGAAAGCTAAAACATCATTATTATTAATTAAAGTTAAAAGAATAGTTAATTATTTTTGGGAAATGTTCCTGTCTGTTACCTTCAATTCGATGAGGAGATAAATACCACTCTCAAGACCTTTACAGTAATAAAGCTACAGCTAGTAACCGGTTAGCTTAGTTTAGCTCAGATTAGCTAAAAGACTGAACACAGTGGAAAACAGTTAGCCCTGCTCTTAAACAGTAACATGTAACACCAACTAAGGTTCTCTGGTTTACACGTGACATTATATATGTTTTGTTTGATTTTACAAAAAAATAATGTGTAAATATATCAAGTTGTGGTTCCATGAGTGGTTTTGCACAGGACAGTTTTCTGGCTGGATGCATTGACTTCCTGCCAGACTAGCTATTTATAGAGTTTGGGTTAAACTAAGCTGGGCTACTAGCTTTATATGTAATGCATAATATGAGCGTCTCATCTACTTTATAAGCATATTAGTAGCTTACTTAAGTGCAGGGAAACTTGTGTGCTTTCTTTTTGATGCTGACTAATGCTAAATAACAAATTCTTAACAAATATTGCAAAGCACAATACAATACATTGCAGAAAGACATGCATTTAAGTGACATATAAACCAATATCCTCATCTTTAATAAATAAAGCTAACAATGTGTACTTCTGAGTATGTGGAAAAACCTATATTCACAAATCAGTATTGGCATATTTCAAACCTCCGGAGAAAGCAAGTAAATGGTACTACCATTTACTTGCTTTCTCCGGAGGTTTGAAATATGCCAATACTGATTTGTGAATATAGGTTTTTCCACATACTCAGAAGTACACATTGTTAGCTTTANCACACACACACACACACACACACACACACACACACTGTTGCCCTACAAACCACAGTAGTAGCACACTTTATCTCCAAGTCTGACCTGAAGAACAGTATGGGTCTTTTATAATTACATTCTAAATATAAAAAAATTGATTTTCAAAATACTTGGAAAACTATTGATTGTATACAATATTTAATATCAATATGGATAATGCAGCGATATCATAGGCAAAAACACTGAGTAAACACTTGGTATAGACACATCCTAAACGAGCAGTGTCGAAAAATGAGTAAATAAACACATTGAATCAGTGTTAACTTAAAGGTATACTAAAAGCCTTTAGTACAATAGTTTGAGATGAAGATAAAGTACCCTAGATTTCCAGACTGTTCCAGCACAACCGGTTCTTTGCTCTGTTTTCTCAGTATGTAGAACGAGGTCATACCTGACTAACCTCAACCCTCTCAGGCAAGCCTTTCTGCTCCAGAGGAGTAAAACAAGGCTATATACATAGCCCCACTGAGAGTTTCTTATCTGCGGCGCTGAATGTCATCATGTTTTTTTCACATAGGCAAGAAAATGAGATAAGGAGGATATTAATAATAATTTGCATTCCCTGTTTGCATTTTTAGAACTGAACTCTGACCCCCCCAGCCCTGCATACCATAAGATAAGTTAATACTGTTTAAGTTACATTAACTAAATCTTGCTCACAGTGGCAATGCACACTTTCTGTTGTTAATAAAGTGTAACATTGGCCATGTTAAGTGTGTTATCATGCCAAGATGTCTTGATATAGGCTGATGGAAATGTCATTAGTTTGGTATGTATTTGGGTACAGACCAAAGTACTGGAAACTTTAGATTAAATTAAGTTACAAGGGTTATTACAATTTATCCTCTGGGGACCATGGATTTGTGTTAAAAATGT